AATCAGATCGGGTCATTTTCAAGTCTGGTCATTCTCGGATTTAAGTCGGGTTTGGTTCAAGTCAATAATTTGCGGGTTATAATCAGGTTGGATCATTTCCAAGTCGGGTCATTCTCGGATTCAAGTCGGGTTATATTCAAGTCAATAGTTTGCAGGTTACAATCAGGTCGGGTCATTTCCAAGTCAGGTCATATTCGGGTTTAACTAACTATAAATAGATAATTATCATTTTTATCAAGCTAATTATTTTCTTTGACTACAATATGTATGACAATATACTAGGGAAGTATAGTCTATAATTTAGGAAGATAATTATCTCCTTTGACCATACAACAAATATATACTATATTTAACTCTTAAATTTGAGGATGATGCTCCTTTTTTTTGTTGGCCTGGACCGACTTGGTTTCCCTAGACAAAATGTTTTGATCAACAATAATAAGGTGGTCTAAATTGCATTTAAGGTGATTTGAAATCGGGTCAGGAACAATTTGGGTTGTATTTCGGTCGGGTCAACAACAAGTCGTGTTAATTATGAGTCGGGTTTGTAACAGATCGGGTTGAATTTTTAGGTCGGGTTAGTAATAGGTCTGGTAAAATTTGGGTCGGGTCAACAACAAGTCGGGTTGAATTTGGGTCAGGTCAATAACAAGTCAGGTTGATTTCGGGTCGGGTTTGTAACATGTTGAGTTAATATCGGGTCAGGTTGAATTCAGGTCAGGTTAGTAACAAGTCGGGTTAAATCCGGGTTTTGACGGGTTAAAACGGGTTTGAGTCAATTTCGGTTTAAGTCGGGTTCGGTTTAGGTCAATAATTTACGGGTTACATTCGGGTCGGGTCATCTCCAGGTCGGTTCATGTTCGGGTTCAGGTCTCACATCCTCGGGTCAACTCGGGTTTAGGTTTGGTTTCAATTCGGGTTTGGGTCACTATTTTTTTGGGTTCAGATGGGTCGGTTAGTAATCAGGTTTGAATCGGTATTTTGGGTCGGCTTAACTTTTCACCGCTCTGATTCTAATAGTGTCTGAATTAAGCAAATACTGAGTACGAGTATGAGTACAAGTACAAGTACAAATACGCATTAGACTTTTTTTTCTTTTTTTTTGAAATAAGTACGTATTAGACTTTTAATTACTTGTATTCCGTAAAAAGACTAGTCGCTAAGTAGCAAAATTACAGCTGCAAATTGCAATAGTTTCTGTAACAAGACAACGAATCCCTTAGCTTGCATATTCCTTTTCTTTGTCTACTTCTTCTTCTTCCTCAATTCCCCCATTTTCCCTTTGTTTTTTTTTTTTTTTTTTTTTTTTCTCTCTCTCCTCCTTTCTAACAGAAATCGAAAAGGGGTTCACTCAAATCCAAGGTCAATGGCATCGCGTCGTCGAAAGCTCCTCAAAATCATAATCCTTGGTGATAGCGGGTAATTTTAATCTCTTTCTCTTTCCTTGATTTTTAATTACTTTTGGAATTTGATGAATTTTGATGGGTTGATTTTAAATTTTTATTCTTTTTGAATATTTGATGATGATTTTACAGAGTTGGGAAGACTTCACTTATGAATCAGTATCCTTTCAATTGAATTATGCTTTCTCTATATTTTTTACCTTCATTTTTTTTTGGCTAATTCTAATGATTAGTCTGATTACCTTTTTTTAATTTAATTGTATTGCATGCCCCATTTTCTAAATTTATTGCTGACCTATTTCAATCAATTTCGTGGAATGTGTTTTTAATGTATGATGTATAATAATAGTTGGAATTAGAAATTTGGGGTTTTGCCTTAAATTTGATAAAATTCAGATTTGTTAATAAGAAGTTCAGTAATCAGTATAAAGCAACAATTGGAGCTGATTTCTTGACTAAAGAACTTCAATTTGAAGATAGGCTTTTCACATTACAGGTATGATCATGTCTATGACTCATCCTTTTTGCAGTTTGCATTCGTTAATTACTTCGTTTTTGCAAGTGAATTTGCCTTCAATTGCTGTGGTATGTTCAATGCATGTTTAGTGTTGAGATCTTTTAGAATTTGGGAATTTGGTTAGATTCTAATTTGAAGAAGTGTAATTGTATGAAGCTGGAAGCTTTATAATCTGCTCCTCACTCGCCCGAGCTTTGTAGATTATGTCAAATTTTAGGGATACATGGTGCATGATTCAAAGCATGGGGGTAACTTGTGCATTTTTTGGAACCTTTTCTTCCGAAATAAAAAAATAAAAAAAGATAGAGGAAGTTTCCTTGCCTTCAATTCAGAGTGCAAAGATGCAGCTTGTATATTGATGTATGAGCATGTCTGCCTTCATTGGCATGAAGAAGTTGGGACTTAGGGTATCCCAAAATCATGTTACGTGTTCGATTCGACAGAAATCTGAATACATTTTGAAGGATGTGAGCCAATGGCTTAAATACTAATTATTCAACAGACTGCATCTGTGCTCTTTATGTTGTCATCCGTATCTCATTTCTGTCTCATGGACCTAGAGTAGACACTTGTTCTCCTAACCCCACTCATATGGTGATGGAAACAGTTTGCTGCATCCTTCATAACCATTGTATTGGTTTTTATGGAAAGATTCAGTGGAACTGATTGGTCATGGCCTCGTGGGAGATTTGCTTCTGCTACTGTTCTTCCTTTATATATATTCTTTATTGTGCTTACTAAGTTTCACCCATCAAATGTAGCTTTATAGCTGTGCAGAAACCTCCTTTTGGATCATTTAAATATTTAAAATAAGAGATTCTCTCGTACGCCTTTTCTCGTTCTTATATCTAGAGATTGATCCAATGATCCTTTTCTTATCGTATTGGTGAATTGTGGTCACTTTGTTCTATCTATGGCATTGAGCAAGATAAAGATGACCTTTCTCTGTCACCCTGTATCCATGGATTGAATGTAGTAAAGGGGTTTAGAGCTCTGATTTGCATATTAATGATGCAGTTTCTGCTAAATAGGATGAGATAATGAAATTTAACCTAAAAAACAGTTGACGGTAGAGACTTTGTTATTGATATATTTTTTTTCAGACGCACAACGCCATAACGGTAGTCGGTAGCTTACCTATCAGCGAGCTTGTGATGTACCCTCTGTAAAACAAAGAACATATGGAAAATGGTAGAGAAAGATGGTCTAAAATGTTGTAATTCATGTATCCTGTGTATCCATCAGCAGCTGTTTGCTTGTTGTCTGTTCTATACTGAAAAATTTGTCCCGCAATACTCTAAAGTCTAAATTAAGGTGAATGTTGTTTGGCCGAATTGCAGATTTGGGATACAGCTGGACAGGAAAGGTTTCAGAGTCTAGGTGTTGCTTTTTACCGTGGTGCAGATTGTTGTGTTCTTACTTATGATGTTAATGTCACGAAGTCTTTTGAGAACCTCAATCGGTGGAGGGAGGAGTTTTTTATTACAGGTATGTGTTCTTTCAAGTTTGTCCTAAATACTTGAACACTTCAAGGGAGGTAACTACACGGAATTTTTACTCTTTTTGTTTGATAGGCAAGCCCAAGTGATCCAGATAACTTCCCATTTATTTTGCTGGGAAACAAGATAGATGTTGATGGTGGAAGCGGCAGAGTGGTAAATTTTCTTAAATCTTAAAAATAAATGGCATTTCTCCAATTTGAGATCTTGGACATTATAAGAATCATTTCCTATGATAATGTACATCAAGTTGAACTAGTCTGAAGTCTTTGGGTCAATGTAAAAGGAGTTAATACTTGTTACTTGTATGCTGTACCTACCCTTTTTTTTTTTTTTTTGCTGTCTTTATTGTCAATAATCATATGAGCTCATGTATATCTCCAAATAAAACAGGTCTCAGAAAAGAAGGCAAAAGCTTGGTGCATGAGCAAGGGGAATATTCCTTATTTCGAAACCTCAGCCAAAGATGGTACAAATGTTGAAGAGGCTTTCATGTGCATAGCTAAAAATGCCATAAAGAATGAACCTGAAGAAGAAATGTGAGTTTCCATTAAGTGATTTTCCTTTGGCTTGTATTGTCTGATTATGTTTGAGCACGGAAACGGACCACTCCCATCGTCCCTATATGGATTTCTTTTATGGGTGTCCTTAAAAGAATGCTCCATTTCCTTGATAGCCATGTGACCCCATCTACTTACTCGTATCAATGGTATATGGTTCCACTAATTTACCTTTTATCAACTCCACCCAAACCATGTTAAATGTATTTGGAGCTTATATATATCGATGGAGGGAGCATTCATTCAGCTCCATACTCCATTTTGATGAATCCTAAACTTCTTTAAAGTTATTTCTTTTCATTGCTACACCTATATATTACTTCAAAGGGATTCTAATTGTTTGATCTATTAACCATGTTATAGGTATGTTCCCGACACCATTGATATGACGAACAGAGCACAATCTCAAAGTTCTTCAGCCTGTGAATGTTAAGAATCTGTTGCCGTGTAAAAGAATTGCCTTAAATCCTGAATTGTTCCATTATTTTACAATATTGACAAGTTTGTCTGTGAATGTACACACATCATAATGGAGAATCGAGGAGGAATTGGATTATCAACCTGTACTTGTTTTCTCATTATTATTAATAATTCTTTGTCGTTTGATGTTGATTGTGGAGATATATCCTGGTTGCAATGGGATCATGTTTATGTTCACACCAAAGTTGTTCGAACTGCAAACAATGGCATAAAAGTCTTTGACCTAGGGTCTAAATTTTACTACTCCGTAGTCCGTATAATATAATTCATCCGGATTTCCTTAATCTGCTTGCTTTCCTTGATTCTTGGCAGGGCATGAAGAGATTTTTGGCAAATAGTTTCTGGTGATAATACTACTTACTCACCTATCCAAAATCCATATTCCTTGAATTCAATGTAGCCTGCACAGCTGCATGCACCATAGATCACATTCATATCTGGCAAAATCGAGCAACTGTATACAGATTTAACGGTTGCTGGCTATTACAGTCGGAGAAAAATAAATTCTAACTCAGCGTGATTTTTTTGAGAGCCAACAATGTTCCATAAGTTGGACCTTTATATGTGACTGCAGATACTAAGTTACTATATCGAAACTTAACTACCAACATGACAGTAACAGTACAACAAAGATCTTTTTACTTGTGTAATTTTTGGAGCCTAGAATGTATTTAAGTTGGATCTAGCCAAAAGCTATAAGAGTAAGAAAAAGACTAATCTAAATTTCAGTTTCAAATACAGATCCTAAAATCTAATTGTGCTTCAATCTTAAGAACTACGATCTTTGCTACAAAACTTTTCCGCCAATTATATTACACATTTGGATATCTACCAGAGCTTGAACCTTTCCTCCTTCGCCGCCGCTTTTGTCGGATTCGCCAAAAGCTCAAAACAAGCAAGAATCCTACAAAAACACGTAAATAATAAGACACCCACAGATTGTAATAAAATTTAGGGTTGAAAACTAGGTGTGCAAGATTCGATCAGATGTAGAAACCTCGAACATGTTGACTACTGGATGAGACCACAAAACCATACGGCAAAATAATTAAATAAAGTTGGAAGGAGATTAGGCAAAATAGGGATAATGTTTTCAGAGATGAAAAAAATAATCATGACATAAAAGAAATTTCATCAAGAATACAATACTAACCAGAAGTGGCAATTATTGCAGGTACAAGCCAATGACTAGCAACCAGCACAGGCATGTCAAGCTGTATAAATCATCAAAAAAAATCATATATGAGGTACTAAATAGCTTATGAAACAGCAAATTATATGTGCAGCATCAGTTCCTTACCTCATCCGTGTAAAAGAGGCCAAAATACTTGTTACTTGTAGAATCGCCAGTTTTCAGGGGAACTATACGGTGGACTTTCAGACCTGAGCCCTCAAAACTGGAATTTGAACTTCTGCCCATATCAATAGCATGGTAACCAGGAAGTATTCTGTTTCTTCCCCTAACTTGCATATTATAACCTTTAGTTCCTACCGCTTCAAACCTGGAGTCAGTCCGGCACATCAATTCCTTCCCCATGACAGCGGAATAGGCTGAGAAATTCACGTCAGTCCTTCGTGATGGCAACTGCTTATCATCTATATACAAGGATGCACCCTGTCTAACAGAATCTGAGAAAAGAATTGGATCCCTGATATTACTACTGGTGAACTCTACTATTTTTTTTAAGGAGCCAAAAGCAATTAGTAACCATATGGCTACTGTCAAGACAATTTGAATCTCCATAAACTGATATCCGGCCTTCACCAGCCTCCAGAAAACCAAGAATAGGTGAATTTTCCTACAAGAATTAAGATAAAGATGTTAGCAAGATAGACCTACTTGACATGCAAAGGAGCTTAACTGCTTAAACTATTAGCAGGTGATCCCAGTCAACCAGCCAGCAAAATAGAAAATCATCCCACTCACCAAAATGGGGAAATTATAAAAAGGATTGTTTGATTTAGGCATTTCTATATATTTTTTTTCCCTTGAAAGGAAAGACTAAAAGGTCAATTATAAATTTTGAATGATAAAGAATGTGGGCACCGGGCAGGTCTTTCCCAAACCCCTGATCCATTGACAAAATAAAAACTACTCCAATAAATAAAAATAAGCAATCAACATCTAAGCATATACTTCCTCCGTTCTATTAATATTGCAACAATGGACTTTTTGCACTATTCATCACTCTTGTTTGACCATATAATATGATTTATACGTTAAGCAAAACATAGTCAAGTGGGATCTTGTTGGATTCGTCTCATAAAATACTTTAACAATCTCAACTTTTTATAATTTTTACTCTTACACATTTATAGATATTTAGCATATAAAATGTGCATAGGGATGCGTAATTTCCTCCTTGTTGCAATATTAATAGAACGGAGGAAGTATTATTAACTCTAGCTGTTTCAAAAAAATAAATAAATTATTAACTCTAGTTGAATGGCTATAAAATAGGATACTATAATTACCTTCATCAGACCGGATGATAGCACATTCTGAGTAGCTCCCCCATCTGACCTATCTATGAAAGGAAAACTGTGAACATATCCACCAGCTGGAAACCTTAGTATGTTGGTTCCTGATGCATACCTACTTTGTTCACCATTAATCGAAAAATCACCATTAAGGATCTTATCACCAAATGCAATCCCAAATGGGGCCAAAAGGTCATTCAGTGCAGGAACATTTGCACCACCAGTAACAGGGGTCCACCAGCTCCTTGTGTTATCATCAAAAAATCTCATTTTAACCATTGTCTCAACATTATACCACTCAGCAAACACAGCCAAGCCCAATCCAGTGTTCAGAATATCTTCCCTCAACTTAATTATCTCTTCTTCAAAGTATTCATCTTCAAGATCAACAAGCAGGAGGGTCCCATACTGGCGAGCATCAAAACATGTAAGTGGAGAACCAAGGGTCTCAACATAGTATCCGGCATCACTCAACATGTTGAACATAGTATGGAAATTTGTGTGGGGATGATCCCCATGCCAATCTAGGATATCATTGCGGACATCCAATGAATCTCTAGGTATATAGCCAGGTGGATATTTGATGTTGTGAAATTGATCCCACAGGATCCTTTTGGATCTTGCAGGAGTTGGAACAACTTTCAATCTCAATCTGAGAACACATATGCTAGTTCGTACTTCTTTCTCACCTTGAACAGGTGGACTTCGGATCTTAACAGTCACGTTACCTTCAATCACTCCATGAAACTGTGCACCTTCTTCCTTAATCTGGACATGGAGTGCCAAATAGCCAGTCCATGGCCATACAACCTCTGAATATGTAAAATGGATGCTAAGCAGATTGCCTTCCTCGTTAAATGGATGCCAGTTCGGTGACTCATAAACATAGCCAATCACTCCCATACCATTCAGAATAGTAGCATTAAATATAACAGGCATGGCACCAGCATAGAGAGGTTGACGACAAAAAGGCCATGAATAAGGGCAATCCATAAAGTCCAGCACGCTAGGAAAGATGCTTGCCCGTGGTTTGTAATTCTTTAAGATTTCATATGATTCTAACCTGACACCATAATCAGCAATTGATTGCAATTGTAACAAGCAAGGCATCAGCATTTGTGAAAACAAAGTTAGTGTATTTGTCAGACCATGAAGAGAAGTATGCACAAATTAAGTAACTCACAGGTCAACTCTCCCAGCACCCTGTTCATACATATTAGGACCAGAGAGCCTCGCAGCTCCTTCAACCAGTGCTTGCTTCATGCTTGCAGGATTCAGGGTGCGTTTTCTGTTGCTCTCTGGAATGATACTGACTAGCAAGCACACCACTCCAGCAACCACGGGACTTGCAACACTTGTGCCTGACAAAGTTTTGCACCCTGTACTGATTTTTGAACCCAAAATGTCACGTCCATAAGCGACAACATCTGGCTTCACACGGCCATATCTGACCACAAATAAATCCATAACTCAATATAGAATATCAAATACACTGTATGCACAATTTGCTGAAAAGATGATTAAGGTCTCTTCCATTGTTATTAACTATATAGCTGCATTAGCTAAAGATTACAAAGATGTACTTATTATAAGCAAAAAATATACAGAAAACAATCAAACAATTACCCATGTGGAATCTCCCATGTGCTCATGCCACGTGAAGAAAATGATGCAATGTGATCAGTATAGTCTATACCACCAACTCCAATGACATCACTTTGATCAGCTGGGTTGTTCAGTGTACCATAGAGTGGCCCATCATTTCCAATTGCAGAAACCATGATTATGTTGTTAGCTGTTAGTTCCCAAACCTAAACAAAACGAAAATGTTTCCAAAGCCTCAGTCATCTTCCAACAGTATACAAGAACCACTTAGCATCAACACATGCATGAAGTAAGGGTTACAAGAAACAATCATCAAAACCTAAACACTATAATTAAATATTACATTCATTCTCACGTTTTTCCCTTTCCCCCACCCCCATTCCTTCACTTGTGAGTTTTACCCATAGTTATTTATATAGTGGCATCTACCTTATAATTAAAATGACAACTCTACACTGTGTACATGTTATATAATGAATCAACCCAATCAACATTCACGGACCTTAAGGAAAATATAACATTTTTAGGCGAGTGAGCCATAGGAAGCCTTATGATCACTATACAACAGACATGAAGCTTTTTAAAGGGAGGTCATCGGATAAATTAGCCTACTTTCCAGCATTACTATGAGACTATCAATTGTCTCCGCCATAGAGATGTTATCAACGATTCTAGTGCAATCAAAGCAAAGATATAACAACCAATAGTAGCACTGGAAAGGGTTATTAGGCATCATGTAAAAGAACTATATTATATATGCCACCACTTAACCATCAGCAGTTAAGATGCTAACACGCTATAATAAGGTACATAAATAAAAATTTAGACACCTTAAATAACAAGGGCAAATAGAAGCAAGTAAAAAATAATGGTGTATCAGATCAATTTTCTAATTGTGAAGGCTAAAAGGAAATATATTTTTTTTTCTTTTTTCCTTTCTTTTTTTTTATCATGTAAATCTCGATATAAAAATAATACTACCTCCGTTTCTTTTAGTTGACACGTATTCCTTTTTAGGTAGTTTTTTTTTAGTTGACACGTTTCCTATTAGGGTAACTTTTTTACCTTGCATTTACAAGCTACCACACTTGCTTTTTCATTCTCTCTCACTCTCTCTCCTCTCCTTAATGTATGTGCCTAAATCAAACGTGTCAACTAAATAGAAACGGAGGAAGTAATACATATACACTCAAAATGGGAGGTGTAAATCTGAAACACTTTGTAAACCCCCCCCCCCAACAACAAAACTCCTGTTCTGTAGACGAATATGCACTTATATATAAGATTTTGATACTGCAATAAGATACCACAATTTATGTGAAAAGAAATCCGTCAACCAACATACCTTCTCCACAAATGGAAGGTCCAAGTGATCAGGACCACCAATACTCAGATTTAGCACATCCATATTAGTTGCAATGGCATAGTTGAATGCATCAAGGAACCATGATGTGTATGACACCTGCAATAAGCTGAATAAAAGATTATCACAAAATTGCTGATAGCACACTACTTGAAGTTCAACATCCAGAGGGGGAAAAAATAAAAAGAGAGATGTAATTAGTATGATTTTGATAAAGCTCCATCTTTAGTCAACTTATTATCAATTGACTCAAAAAAAATATGTGGCCAATGCAGAGAATCAATCCAGGCCACCAACCCCCCAACAATATGCAAGAAGGAAGCAAGTGGGAATGGGAAAAGAATTCTTTTGAGTTTGTGACAAGGGAAATTATGGAACCAATAAAAAGTTAGTTACAAGTTTATTGTAGTGAGGAAGCCACACTAGTTTTGGTATCAATATAAGGAATAGAGGAATGTACACATAGGCTAGGGAGTAGGAATGTTCAGACAAGTGGTGATTGATTTGTAGGGAAAGAGAGTGCCAACTTCTTGAGAGTTGGTTAGCTTTTAAACCTTGATTATGGCTACATACATTGATACCTTACCTTGATCAGTTTGCATTTTTCTTCTTATTTTCTATGTTTTGTGTTCATTTGAGTATGGCTAAGGATCAGTATTCTTTGAAGCCTATCAAATAAAAACTTTCATCACATCCACAGAAACTGTGTATCTAGCTTAAACCAATCAAAGATTCAAGACTAAGTATTTATTCTCCACTAGTCCACTCCCATGTAATCTAATAGGATATACCAACTTCTTCTTTACAAGGGCAAAGGACTAGGAAGAGTCATGTAACAAAAAAAATCTGGAACTCCCTAAAAAGGAAAAATGCCAAATCACTAAGCTAAGAAATGTCACTTTTAAAGATGATCAAATTTGCTGATTGTTATAGCTTCTTCTCTCTATACATTTAATTCTCCTTTATTAAAGCTCTTTCGGTCATCGCAGCCAAGCACAGTATAACTTTTCCTCTAATTGAAGCTGATGATGAAATGATCCATTCAATGAGAAAGCACAAGTATCACAGCACCTTTTAAGATTTACCATTGAATCAATATACTACCTCCGTTAACATTTACTTGCAACTTTGGGGTATTATTAACAAATAAAATATTCCAAAGTTGCAAGTAAATGTTAACGGAGGTAGTACTTTGCATTAGGAAAAAGTCCAAGAACAAGAGAGCAGTATAATGTATAAATTATATAGGTTAAAAATTCCAGTTATATACAAATTTTTAACTTGGGGGAAGAAGAAGGCTTGCAAGTCTAGCAATAGTAGTATTATCAAATTTTTCTCTCTTGTAGTAAAACATGGATTACCTGTGCATCAGTAAATACACGAAAAGCATAAATTTCAGTATCTGGAGCAAATCCAGGGCACTCTGACTCTTGGCCAGCTATAACTCCAGCAACAAATGTCCCATGTCCAAGATTGTCATTTAAAGTGTTTTCGTTTGTCCAATTAGTTCGCTCCTGCAAACCACTCAAAACATAAGACTACTGTTTTACAGTATTCAGTATTCAAATTTCATTCTTTAGGTCATAACAATATCACCTCCATGACTAAAATAACATTTTATAGTGACAATCCATCTACTTAGGAATATAGTATACCTTAATATTGCGAAAATGAGGGTGATTTGCCCTAATTCCAGTATCAAAGATTGCCATTTTTACTTTAGCACCTGTGTAGCCCTTGGCCCATAAAACATCAGCGCCAAAGAGGGAGGTCACTTGAGAACTCTGCATCAAAAATAGAACAAAAATAATCAGCAACCAAGTCACAAATACAATGCACACAAGCTCCATGTTTAAATCTTATACCAAAAGGTATTTAGTTCTTTCACAGGTACAAAGAACAGCTTAAGACCTCTATGGTTTTGCTTAAGAAAAGAACACAAACTGGCAAAACTGGTTTCCAACAAATTTAAATCAACCAATATCTCAAATTCTCAATACATTTCTCAAGCTATCCATGACACTGACATAAACTCAATTGACACATTTCCAAACATCAGAAAATATTGAAATAATTTGTCGATATATTTCCATTTATTTCAACACTATCATAATCGAACCGCTCAAATTCAATGCCAGTCCTACACTTTTCAGAAACTTTCCATTACATTTACTCTCACCAGCTCACTAAAATTCCATCAAGTTCAGAAAGATTCACATATTTCAAACAAAGATAGCAAAGCATTAGCCTTATTTGATATCAAAATCAAAGTACGATGTCAATACATACTAGTATATCTTGAATTGATATTGATATCATCAATCCTTCATTGATTCATTGATAAGATTATCCATCAACATTTACATGCTAGAAAAATTCAATGTACCAATTGATAAATATACAGATTTCTAATCTATCGAAAACAATTACAAACTTATTATCATCATCTAACCTTTTCCAGAAGATTCCGGCGCCTCCAATCGATCGTCTGGTTGCTCAGCGAGCTCCAGTGACCTCCAACACCTTCTTCCTCAGCCTCAAAGGACATTTTGGTAAATATCTTCCCAGGCCGCTTCTTCACATCGCAAAAAACACTTTCTCTCTCCAATTTCTCCTCCTCAAGCAAGCTCCTCGAGTAGCTAAAATCCACTGATACATCCTTCACCTTATTCAAACCCTCAATTTCTCCGATCACCGCCATTTCAACCGATTCTTCAATCGAAACGACGCCGAAATCAGTCGGAAACTTCGCCGCAGGATTCCGGCGCTCGATCCATTCCCAGCCATTGGATTTGATGCTACGACGGAGGTAACTTTGGTGAACATCGGCATCCTTGTAATTGAAGAATCGGACGATGTAGTTTCTTCGCGAATTTGAGGAATCCGGCTTAGGACGGTGAATTAGGGTTAGGGTTCCGTCATCGAGAAAGGGGGAATGAAGAGAAGAGGAGAAGAGAATGAGGAGAGAGAAAAGGAAAGACGCGGAACTTTGAGGTTTGATCATGGCGGAATTGGAGAAGGAAAATGGTTGCTGCTATGGAGGATTTATTTGGCGGGAAAGTTCCACCATTGAAGAGAGAGAGATGAAAGGAGGAAGAGATAAAGATGAGATATTTACTTTGATCTACGGATTACTGAGCTAGGAACTGCCGAACTAAGCAGCGAAGATTTATGTTCTACGAGCACAACCAATACTCCGGGGTACCTTAATAGCTCAAGTAATTAGAGTTTTTCTTCCGATTTCAGGAAATTTTGGAATCGATTTTTACTCACACGCCTTTTTGGTTCTCTAAACACCAAAAAAATATATACTCTAATAGACGCTTTTTTTTTTTTTCTTTTTGAAACCTACTCCAATAGCCCAATAGGCACTTGCCCACAATATACTTGAAGGTATAACCGTAAAGTATTTCATTCGTCTCTAAATTATTTTTGCCCCATTACCAATATTTATTAAATTCGTTTCATACTATAGAGTATATTTTTGCATTAGTATTACCTCCATTAACTTTTAGTTGCAACTTTGGAATATTTTATATCTCACAAATAATACCCCAAAGTTGTAACAAAAAGTTAATGGAATTAATATTAAGATTTCATAAATTTTACGTCTTGTAAATTCCGAGCTCTATTAAGATCCATAGGGCTAAACGCTTACACCGACCCTTAAAAAATAACCCGAACAATTTTTGTGGAAAAAAAAATTAATGACACGTATATCGATACATTTTATGACATGAAAAACGAGATAGTTACTTCAAAAAAAAAACAAACAAAAAAAAACTACATAGTTACGTTATTTTTTGCCAATTTCAAGTTCGGTTTGAATTCTTTAAGGCCTAAAATAACCCCAAAATCTTAATGGGATATTTTTCAACACACAAACACAAGAAAAATGATGTTATTAATTTCTATCTTGCTATTGTTGATTTGTATGCGTACTATTATTGTTGATTTGTAGATAGTTGTTGCGTATCCTATATGAGTTTATATATTTATGTTTTCTGGAATTTTGTGAGTTTGAATTAAATGTTATTGTTTTAACAAAATTGTTTTCAAGTTTTTGAGTATATTAGGGATTTAGGGTATGTTCACATTTATTGAACTGAGCTGAACTGAACTGAAATGAATTGAACTTAACTGATTAGAGCTGAACTTAACTGATTTGGAGCTAACCTGAATTGCATTGAGCTAAAATGAATACTTTATAAGAAAAGGAAATTAGGAGCTGAACTGAACTGCACTGATTGGAACTGAACTGAAGTAAAATGAAGTGAACTGAATTTTTTAAAAAAGAAATCTATCAAAGAGACCAGTTATTATAAATAACAGATCTCTTAGATGCTAGTAGCAATAATGCTTTATTTTTGTAATGAAATGAGACCAGTTGTTTAGACAGCTGGTCTCTAAGCCTCTAAGGTCATTTTTTCTGTTATAATAATGGGTCAAACAGACCGGTTATTAAAAAAAAGGTCTCCATGGTCATTGTATTTTTATCTTTATTTTTATTTTTTCTGTTCTTTTTTTGTGATATATATATATATAATGTTTTGTACTTTCATACGTGATTAATAAATTATGGCGACTCGCCAACTCGAAAATTTTAACACCTATAAGAAGAAAGGGATAGGTTGCTACAGTTCATATTTCATAGCTTAATCCATTCGTTTACATACCTAGTTTAACCACCTCATCGATAAGCGTGATAAAAGATGTGTTGCAAGTATAAAAAACAGAGGAAGTACGAAATAATAAAGTACCATATGAATAGTGTTCAAATCTTAAGTGATGTTATTAAGAAAAACATATTGAGTATTTTATTTATTTATTCGTATGAGTATCCTCATTTATAAAGTAACCTTATTTAAACAATTTTATACAACTACCCAAACACATTATAAGAGTATGTCAATTGTTTTTTGTATGAGGGTTATTATATATAAGTATTAAAAACACTCTTGAAAATTGTATAAATTAGAAATTCATGACAAAACACGCGTAGATCAGTTTGATTAGTGTGTTTTTGTCATGATTTTCTAAATTTAAAAAATTTCCAAAAATGTTTTTAATGCTTATATGTATCCCTATGGGCTATGTATAGCATTTTCAAAAAAATATAAAAAAATTTGTTCATTCAAGTTATTTTTTGTCAATTTCGAGCTCATTTAGATCTTTTACGGGCTAAAATGACCCTCAAAACTTTACTTGAATAATTTCATGGCTAATATATAGCAGCACGCAAATCTAATCATTCCTTGTTACACCAGCAATGACACTTGTCCTAGTGTATGCAATATACATCTTAAGGTAGTTAAAAGCGAAAGTGTGCTTTTTAAAGGTAATAAAAATAAAAATTTCCTACATTTATATACTTAGGGCCTGTTCACTTAAACTTAATTTCAGTTCAGGTTCAGCTCCAATTAGTTTATTTCAGTTCAGTTCATTATTTCAGCTCCAATCAGTTCAGTTCAGTTCAGTTCAATTCAGTTCAGTTCAACTCTTACTTTTCTTCTTTTATAAAATATTCATTTCACCTCTATTTAGTTCAGTTTAGCTCCAATCAGTTCAGTTCAGCTCCAATCAGTTCAGTTTAGTTCAATTCAGTAAATGTGAACAGGCCCTTAAGATGTACATAGTTTACAATTTTCAATGTCGTGCTAATCATCAAGGATGATCCTTATGTGTACTTAGGGCCTATTCTCTTCAACTTATTTTCAGTTCAGTTCAACTCGATTATGTAAATCAAGACAAACCCTTACTCCATAATGTACCACTTGGTGTGGACATAATTTTTTGTAAAAAGAGAAAAATGTCAAATTTGACCATGTAATACAAACAAATGAGAGAGAGAACTGGTTGATAATAATAATGGTTGTTATCATTTGTAAACTAGTTTAAGGCATGGACGATGCCTCGATTTTTGTTTAAATACAAAAGGAAAAAATTACTTTGAGTTTAAATAATAGGGTAATGTTATATGCAGCTCTAAGGGTTAGACCGACTGCATATAAGCATTTAATATACTTTCTTTTTTCAGAGGTTTTTCAGTGTGGCAAGCCACATGGTGCTGTAGGGGTTACTTGTAGGGTGTTACTTGTATTCTAGGGTTACTTGTATGAGTTGCTTGTAAAGTGTTACTTGCATTATGAGGTTACTTGTATCGTGGGGTTACTTGTAGGTGTTACTTGTATTCTGAGTAACTCCTACAAGTAACTCTAGACCAAAACTCCATACCAAACTAATAACACCCTACAAGTAACCCCTGACCGAAACCAGTAACACCTATACAAGTAAACCCAGAATACAAATAACACCTACAAGTAACCCCGGACAAAACCAGTAACACCATACAAGTAACCTTAATGAAAAGTTACAATTCACATATGAATGTTAATTAAGTAATAAAGTGACATAATTGTAGAATAGTGGTAATTAAAAGTTGGGAATTTCAAGGCAAGTGATGGTTTAAATCTAATCCAAATATTAATGTGTTGTCATGTTATCATTTATGTGGCGCTATTTCATAAATTTTACGATGACAAAGTATGATACATGTCGTTAACATGTTAACCCCTTGGGTTTTAATAATAGTATAGACATGGGTGGATAGGTTATATTGTGTGTGAATCAAAAATGAATATAAGTATAGTACTCCGTACCAAATATGAACATAGACACATAGTGCAATTATTATGCAACTTCTCAGAAAAGAAAAATGGTACAACGAATTGAATGAAGTAATATACAGAGTGTATTGTTTTAATTTGCAGCAAGTTTCGATAATTTTGACGATACTGCGATGGTCATGTATCCTTAGCATGAACATGATGAGCAACAAGCTTTAATTCTTGTTTTAACGAAAAAAGTTTGGTGTTTTGTCGAGGAAAGAAAAAGGGAAAGAATAGGAAAGAGGATGGGGAGAAAAAACTACGACAAAGGATACAAATTTTGTATGGTGGGGCCTAGGATAGGAGACAAAGGATAGAAAATGGAGAATGAATCTTGCAAGACAGAAGAAAAAGGCAGCAAACGAGCTTATGACCAAAGGGAAAAGCTACTAGGATTCTAGGAAGGCTTTTGCCTTTTGGAGTTTTGCAAACGAGCTTATCAATACGGAGTATTTAGTACTCGTATAATCGTATTATATACTACTTGGGGAATTAAAAGGTAAAAGTTATAAATAGTGAAATATACTCTAGAAATGAATTTCATAAAACATCAAAGAGTTCTTTCTCTAATTTTAATACTTTCGCACTTTTTTTTTTTTTTTTTTTTTTTACGCTTGCTTATACATTATTACCATCGTTAATATCTTTAATTACCTTTACCCTTATAAATTATCACCAAATATATTCAAAGTGAAATATATTATTTAAATTTTGTTGAATAATTTTGAGAATTGGAGACAAATTTCAAGTAAATAATTAAATTACTTAGGCTATGGTGTTGTAATTTAATTATAAAAAATTATTAAAGCATTGTATTGAAAGAACAATCAAGAGCTCACGAAAAGAGAAAGTTCGCTGCTCCTGATCTTCGCCCAGTCAGCCGCCCGATCATGGTGCTCGCTCGATCGGGCGTGAGGGTGGCTTGGAAATCGCAATCTTCACCGCCCGATCGGGCAGCCGCCGCCCGATCGGGCGCGAGTAGGATACCAAATTTGACGGAAATTCAATTTCTTGAAAATGGGCTACCGCCCGATCGGGCACGAGGGGAAGCGAATATCTGACGTTCTAGTTAGCCCGATCGGGCGCGTGTCAGAGAGGAAAATGAAACAGACGGTTTCAGTCAGTTTTGTTTGAAGATTTCAGTTACTTTCGTGGCTTTTGAAGTAGATTATGCTTTAGTATATATATGTTCAATGAACATATGTTGGAAGATACTTGAAAAAAAATCAGAAAACTAATTTTCTTGAAAACCTCTTTTGCAACATTTTATCATCATCATAAATCCAAAGGCTTATTTACATTGTTTTGTAATCATCCTACTTGTGATTGCAATTGTTTCTTCATTGTATCTCCTAAGTAAATTTCCGTGAAAACCCGGTTGTAGTTTAGGGTCGGAATTATACTTTTAGGAAAGTGATTCCGTTCACGCCTTGAAGTTTTCCGGTTCAATTGTTTGCTATTTTTGTGACCCTTGATCATACACAAATTCCCCAACAAATTTAGGTTTGAAGTTCAACGTATGCATAAACAGTGATCATTGTGCATACGTCTCCACCATCAGATCAACATCCATATTAAATTAATTAGCACTCACATGACACTAAACTCATGGAGCTTATTTCAGCTTATTTGCCATGTACGCCAAAGCAAACTCCTGTACACAAAGTTATTTCACAAAAAAGTACGCCGACATAAAGTTTTACTTGAAGTCTTGAACACAAATTTTTATATGTGGTGCGACCACTTCGGATATGACCAATTAAATAAGTAATGGGTATTACAGAAATGATAATTAAATGAGATCATCACCTTAACAGATAAAGGGGTACCATAGTGGAAAAATAAGGTTAGAAAAAGGGCGTTTTTTCAAATGAAAAATGAAGTTACTTAGGCTTGTTTGACATCATTTTTGGTTTTCAGTTTCCTGTTTTTTTTAAAACCCAAAAGTAAAAACAGGAAACAAGAAAAAGGTGTTTCCACGTTTCTGTTGTCAGTTTTCAAAATTATCATGATTTTAATAAGTTCAAATAATTTTTTATTCATTATGGGACATATATCATATACTTTTAAAAGACAAAAAACCAAAAACCAAAAAACCACAACAATGTCAAACGAACCCTTATTTATTTATTTATTTTTATTAATTGATATTATTCATATAAACCTTTATATAAATTGATATTCTTCGTATAATGAATTAGGGATACTCAAATGTGATGACAATATATTGTATCCTAAAAGTTTTTTTTGGTGAGGTAAAGAAAATTCTCTGTACAAAGCAAAAATTGGAGTCTCTAACCTAGTCTCTTGTAGAATACGAAGAAATTTCGTATTGCGGTTTTATACGTAGGTCCTCTTAAAGAAGATTTTGTTTGTAGCAAACTAGCAAGGCTTCTTGTAAAAAAAAAAAAAAAAAAAAAAAAAAAAAAAAAAAAAAAAAAAAAAGCAAACTAGCAAGGCAATCAGCCAATCATGGACAAAATTTTATTTTTGGCACCAAAAAGTCTTCAACTTAAGACCAGAAAACTTACTTCCTAAAAAAAAAGAAAAAGACAGAAAAAAGACCAGGCAACTTATTTTAAAAACTTTTCCCAACTTTTTGTGGCTGTTTTTTCCACTATTTTTCTGAGTTGGAGTTCTGGTAACCTGGTAGGCCTCACCTCACCTGAGTGGTGGCGTCAAAGGCTCAAAGCGTGGTAAGTCATTTTTAGATCCATGCATTATATTTTTTTTTAATTTTTTTTACTCGTACTATTATTCAAAGTTAATTGGCCAAGAGAGTTTTCTACTATGAGTAAAAACCTAATTACTAATAACTTAAGAAAATAAATTGCTACGATTTGAATCTTAATTATTAGGAAAATTTATCAGAAAGGTCCTTTAAAATAGGTGCTTTTGTTGTAAAGGTCCTTTTACAAAAAATGTGGCTCTAAAGATCATTTTATCGCACTTAAGGTTGTGGCAAAAGTCCTTAGATCGGATTCCGGCAATTGATTTTATTTTGCGACAAAAAAAAAAAAAAATCACATGCTTTGCATAAAAATCCTTTTTTCCCCTTCCCTTTATTAAACCCTAATTTCTTCATCATCAGCATCGACGTGAACCCTGTTTTATGAAAAAAAATTATCAAGCTTCGATTCTAGTCCCTCATTAAAATAAAAGACAACTGAATTGAACTGTTTATGAGATAAGGAAATTGGAAATTGAAGTGAACTGAAATTAAGTTGAAGTGAACAAACCCTAAAATACTTATGAGTGCACCAAGGTGTATATGGAAAAAGCCGAACCCTTTTCGGTGTGCAGCTACTAAGATGGCCCATATCCGCCCTTTCTAATCTTTGGCCTCACATAAAGGGGTCATTTGATCGGATATTTTGTAATGAGTTCAATTGAATTAGAATCCTTTCTATTGATTCTATTGTTTGTTGAGTTTTATTTATTTATTTATTTATTTTTTATTATGCAACTTTATATGAATGGGTTACTCTATTTACCCTATTCCCTAAAATCTTATTCCATTTTACCCCCTAAAATTTACAATTCATTCGATTAATGAATTGTATAAACAATTCCAACAATAAAACACAACTTAAGATTAAGATGAGACTACTCCTAATGTTGAGACTATTTTTGGGAATCATTGTTGAATTAGTAGTATTTATTTAGAGAGCCATAAAATGAAGGTGAGAATCAAATTTAAGATATCCTGAAATTGAAAATGAAGCTTTAACTACAGCACTTGAGTTATCCATCACTCTCTAATAGTGATTAGTAGTTTAGTACGTAGTAATTCATTTCATTACTTTTTAGTGATTAATACTCAAATTACTATAAAACAGAGTAAAAAACATGTAGAGATATCTATTCAAAAAAAAAAAAAAAAAAACATGTAGAGATATAAGTGGGGCTAGATTTTGCTTTTTGCCGTTTTCTTCTTCTTCTTCTTCTTCTTCTTCTTCTTCTTCTTCTTCTTCTGTACTCGTTTTTGAAACTCTTTTGCATCATTCTTCTTCATCTTGGTATTTGTCCTTTTGCATCGTTCTTCTTCATTTTGGTGTTTGTCTTTTTGCACAATTCTTCTTCATTTGGTATTTGTCTATTTGCATCATTCTTCTCTTATTTAGTGAGGAACTCTTTTGATTTTGACTACCACATTACAAACTCCAAATTCAGAGAAAGAGCTCGATTGCCTCAATGAGTTATCAATATGAGCTAAGATGGATCCTTTTAATTCTGATCAACTTATTTGTTCGACCTCAATTCCATCTTTTCTTCTCAGATTACACTTCTTTAACCCTTTCCAATACCATTCTTCTTCTCATGATGCTGCTCCTTTTTCTCTCATCGTCCTTGATAACCTTCTTCTCCTTCGACGAACACCGCCACTTTGTCATCCGCCTACTCATCTGCCATCGAAGTGGATGGTCTATTCCCTTAACTTGTTCCTTCATATTCTCTCTACTCTGTCCTTCCTCTGTTTTCATTCGCATTTATCCCTTTCTATTCATCCTACTCGCTCTCCTTCATTTTTATTGTTTCAATCATTCCTCGTCTTTTTTCTCAAATGCTCTTCCTATTATCAACTCGCCTCCTTTTAATCTTTCACTTTCGCCCAATGATAATAATAATGCCCAACAATCTTCTTTCTATGAAATGAAATGGATTTTATTACCTTTCATTAATTGTTTCTTAAGACCTTATTTTAGCCAATTATTCTCCAATCATATGAATAATTACCCACAAAATGCACTTACACTTTTCCTGCTAATTTCCCTTATATTAGTTATCTTTATCTTTGTTTCCTTCCAAATGTGCCTTACAGTCCTAACAGAGGACTATGATAGTGGGCTCTTAATCTTCTTACGAATCAATTATCGAAATGGATGTTCGTGTCTCCTGACAGGCGCTCTGATGTTCTGTCTACTCTGTCCGACCCCTGTTTTTCTATACCTCTACCCTTGCATCGTCATCCTCTCTCTTTGGCCTCTTTTCTTCCACAATTTCATTTTCGGCTTCGTGGTCCGTTTCCATCGATTTTTGACTGCCTGTTTGTTGTACATTGCGCCAACCAACGTTATGCAAGATGAGAATGAAGATGATCATATCCATGTTGCTGTTTAACAATTTAGCAACACCCAACGTGCTAACTATGTAGTTGTATGTGTTTCCATGGAATAATGGTTCTCTATTGCTTTATCTAGACTAATCACTGATGTTGTATTGTATTGGAGTATTTGAAAATGTTGGCATTTATATAGTCCACTAAAAGTTCACAATGTTTGTACCCCCAATCCCCTCTTAATTTAGTTCTTGTATTAGCTTGGCTAAGAGAGTTAAATCTTTGCTTTGTAGTTTTGAATCAATTGGAAGCTAGTCTCCTTTTTGAACTGTTGGTTAAAAAAAAATTAGGCAATTGTTGTTTTGTATGTGGTGCATTTGAAAATGTTGGTGCTACTATAAATCTTTTTAGAGTAACTAATTATTTGCTCGGATAATGTATGAAAGCTAAAAGCTACGTATTTTTAGTGATATTATACCTGATACTACTCCATGTAATTTTATAATTTTATTTTGCTATTAAAGACACATTACATATTAAGACATAGTCTAATTAACCTTGAGATCAAGGGCTCAAATCTTTATATAAATCATGTTTCTAATTCAATGACATGACATAATACTATAATAGCCAAAAAAAAGAAAGTTGGGAAAAAGAAAGTGTCAAACCATATCTATGCTAATATATTTCTAATAACGTCCATGTGTCACATAAGCTCCCCTCACTACGCCACTTCATCCATTCAAGTACTCATAACGCCATGTGCCTTTCTGTTCCATTGATTTTCATTACATTTCATGCACTCATAATAATTATATATATATATATATATATATATATATATATATATATATATATATATATATATATATATATATATATATATATATATATATATATATATATAAGTTTTCCAAAAGATTTGAACTTGCAACTTCTAATTCAAGAACTAAATGTCTTACCACCAAGTTATGTAATTCTCTATGTAATTTTTTAATACAAAATATTAATATGTAGCAAATGACAATATGAATAACAAATTTAATTACAAGAAAATTAAATCATAAATTACAATGTATATTAATGATCAGTTAGTTTCATGTAATAACCCGGGGCATCGTCCGGGCCCAAAAACTAATTCTATTATTACTACTAGGACTTAATTTGATTGCATATCTGACATCACAATCAAATTAGAAAAATAAAAACAGTAGCTTGTATATACTTAACTTAAATCCACTTTGTGCATCTTATCGTTAAGAAAGATTAGTTTAAAAGGTAAAAAGATTGTCTAACCATATACTACTTCAATTGATTGCATAGCAGACATCACAATCAAATTAGAAAAACAAAAACAATAGCAAATTTCTTCCAAAATTGAATCCACTTTGTACACCTTGTCGATAAGTAAAATGAGAGACTATATGTGACTTAAGTTTTACCTTTACTTCGTCAACCTAAAAAGTGTAGCCAAATGTAATGTCAATGGCGCTTTAGACACTAACTTTTACCTTTGCTTCTTCAATCTAAAAAGTGTAGCAAAAAAAAAATGTATTGTTAAACATTTTTTCTGAACACATATGTTAATGCAAACTTTACTAATACAAAACAATGTATTCAAATAAATAATAAGTAAAAATAAATTATTACAATTTACCGAGACTATTCAAATAAGTACTCAAAAACTTTATTTTTTTCCTATCTAAAATTAATTACGTTACATGAGCTCACTTGAAGGGGCAACAAGGGATCCAAACCATGGCATCGCTACATATCCATCTTTCCAATCATCCGGCAAACCACATATGTTGAGCTCCTTGAATTTTCCACTACGCACGTCACATTCAAGAAAAGCCACAACATTTCGCCCTACACTCACAAGGGCTTGTTGTCCATCCTGTGAATAAGCAAGAGGCAATGGCGGAAAATATGAGGGGACTTCGTTTGGTAATGGTTTATTGAATGGTAAACCCCACTCCCTGTAGGTTTGGTTTTCAACAACACCTTGGCGAAGTCGGATGCCAATTAGACTCTCCCAAGTTTGATTCACACCATACTCCGTCATAATCCATACATGCATCATGTCATCATTCAAACAATTTACGAAATGCAAGCGACCCCTTATATCAGCTAATACCCATATATTATAACCAACGCGATCAGGGTATGGTACATCGCAACATTCCTCCCTTCCAAGATCGAAACTAGTTATACTTGGCAGGATATCATAAGTGTTAGTACGAGCTATCCAATACAAGGAGTTATTAGAGTAAACCATACATGAAGAACAAGGAATCTTAGAAACAAAATCTGGTTTATTAGTGATGAATTTCCATGAATTGTTCTTCAAACTATAAATATAATATTCAGCCTGCTTCGGAAAAGGATAGCTATATACAAAACATAAAATTTTATAATCATGATTCACGACGCTATCATATCCAAACCCGGCCATAATGTGGGTGCCCTCATTCTTTGGAAACAATGGCGGTAACATGTTAACAGCGCCTGTTAACGGATTATAAAGCGAAAACTGTCTACATTTATAGTGTTGAAGGGAAGAATCAACATTGTTTATTTTCTGAAAACATAGCAATCCGTGGCAAGAACCAATGAGTCGTTGATTAACCATTGGAAAGTTAGAGAGGCGAGTTACCTGGTTGACAGGGGAATGGTAATCCAAGGAGTACAAACGAGATGACCGAGGACAAAAAAGGATGATTGAGCCACTTGGATTTGTCCTGTTGCTTTCGAGAAGATGGCGAGTGTGTAAACTGGTGAAATTGGGGTGGTGGATGATATCATCAATCCAATGCTTGCAAACGCAACGGCAACGAATTATGTCTTTGATTGGAAGTCTTAAGAGGATATTTGATCCTAAATCCAAGGGAAGTTGACTAATAATTGAGGTAGGATTACTAATGTTCTTTCTCTTCTCCATTTTTGAAGATATGAATGATGACTTCGATATGATAATATGAATTGATAAAAGAGAAAGGTTGGGAATGTGAGGGTAGCGGACTAGCGGAGGTAACAACCAATTTTTTTTTTTATTTAAAGGAAATTTTGTGAAAAATACCTATTATAATCCAGAATTTATGAGAAACTACCTATTAAAAAAATGTTGTAATTGACTACCTAATTTTTTTAAAATGTTGTAATTTACTACCTTTATGCCGGATTATGAATGAGTTTGACCAAAATTCTCCGGCGTTGACTTGGTCACGTGACACTTGGTGAAAGAAAAGGGTCATTAAGTGTCACGTGATGGTCACGTGATCAAGTCAACATCGGAGAACTTTGGTCAAACTCCTTCATAATCCGGTGTAAGGTAGTAAATTACAACATTTTTCGAAAATTAGGTAGTCAATTACAACATTTTTTTTAATAGGTAGTTTCTCGTAAATTCTGAACAATAATAGGTAGTTTTTCACAAAATTTCCTTAAATAAATATTATTGTTTTGAAGAACCCTAGAAAGAAAAAAATTGAGAGGAGACAGTTAGGGTTTTTCTTTTTGTTTTTTTTTGTCTTTCTGTTATTAAAGTGTCCTATTTAAATGTTAATTTTCCAATAAATACATGAATTTGTTAAATACACGTCAAACAAAAAAATCTTCCCATAAAAAGGGAAAGAGAAGTCAAACAATAAAAAATTGTCAAAAACAAAAAAAGTTCCGTTGTATTTACCATAGACTAAAAAAAAAAAAAAAAAAAAAAAAAAAAAAAAAAAAAACCTATTACTCAATTGCTTAATCCCATTAGGATAAATCCTATGGTTCCATAACCATCCTGAACCCCAAATCTCACGCCATTCAACAGTTATTAATCTAGGGTTTGTCGAATATAAACCTAAACCTTAAAATTGTTCAACAATGGAAAAGGGAAAGAACATCAATCATCCTATATCAATTATTAGTCAACTTCCGTTGGAATTAGAAACAAATATCCTCTTAAAACTTCCAATCAAAGACCTTATTCGTTGTCAATGCGTTTGCAAGCATTGGCGTAATGATATCATCAAAAACCTCAATTTCATCATATCACACAGTCGCTATCTTCACGAGAGTAACAAGACAAATACAAGTAACCCTGTCATCCTTTTTTGTCATAAATCATCTCGTTTATACAATTTGGATTACCATTCCCTCAACATGTCAACAAGTTAACTCGTCTTCCTAACCTTCCAATTAGCATGGTTAATAAACGACTTGTTGGTTCTTGCTACGGATTGCTGTGTTTTCAGGAAATGGATAAAGGGTTAAATTTTGAACCTCGAAAATATAGATTTTTTTCGGTTTATAACCCGGTTATAGGCAATGTTGGTAACACCTTACCTCCATTGTTTCCGAATAATGAGGGTAGCGAGAGTATGGTTGGGTTTGGATATGATAGCATGACTCATGATTATAAAATCTTATGCATAGTTTATAATTATCGTATTCCGTATCAGGCTGAATCATATGTTTACAGTTTGAAGAACAATTCTTGGAAATTCATCAAAACAAATACAGAGAATTGTTTTACAGAAAGACTTGATTACACGTGTTCGCGTATGATTTACTCTAATAACGCCTTGTATTGGATAGCTTACGGTGATAGTCGGCCAAGTATAATTAAGTTCGACCTTGGAAGGGAGGAATATCAAGAGGTACCACACCCTGATGACGACTTTCGTGGTAGATGGAGTGTTATTGATTTAAGGGGTTGCTTGCATTTGGTAAAAAATAAATCGCTCAATATATGGATTAGGAAGGAGTATGGTGCTAAACAAAATTGGGATAAATTAATTCGCACTCAATCACTTGACCAATATGTTGTAGATGAATTTGAAAGCCAAGACTACGACTGGCGTGGACCATTCAGAAGACAATTTCAAGTTGATTCATATTTTCCGCCGTTGCCTCTTGCTTATTCAGATGATGGAAAGCAAATCCTTCTGGGTCTAGGTGAAAATGTTATTAAGGCTTTGATTCAATGTGATCTGCATAGTAGAAATTTTAAACGGCTCGAAATCTGTGATTTGCCTGATGATTGGAAAGATGGATATGTAGCGATGCCATGGACTGGTTCCCTTGTCGACCCTTCATTCTTTTAATTCTACCGGTTTACTTATAAGGTTTTCCCCTTTCTTTTTCTACATAGTTTGGTCATTGAACTCTATTTAATTTGCTTCTAGATTTGTTTTTTTTGGTTTTAACAGCCAAGTGAATTTCCTATAAATTAATAACTCGCACTTGTATGTTAGTAACATTGCAAAGATTGGTTGAGTTTGTTATGATAGCATTGCATTAGTCACTAATTCACAATTCTAAAACCTTATGGTGAGTTTTGTTACCGTGATTGCCTGAGGCATGTCTAATTTTGTGTTTACAACTAGGAAGTAAGTCATCCTACCTCTTGAAGTATATTTATCTTTTATTCAGAACATTATTATACACTTGAGTTTTTTCTAGTAATACATTGCATTGGATAGTTGTAAGTCAGGTGATATAAAGTCAAGAATCGATAATTAGTTTTAAAATTTGGAACGGAAGAGTAACATAAGGTTGATTCTACACCTTGATAATGGAGTGTTTGTTGATGTTGTGAGTGAATGTGAGTTAGTTAATTAATTGAAGATGTTGCTTGCATTTCGTAAAAGATATGTATACTATGGTTTATGATGGAGTACGTATGATGTGAAAAAAGTATGATTCACAGCAATTTGATGAATATATACAAATACAATATCAAATCTATTACTCGTATTATCTAAGCTGAAAAAAAAGTTGTAATGCTGGCTAGTTTATTACAAATATATTACTCGTATTATGATGGAGTACGTATGATGTGAAAAATCCTATCTGATTACTAGTTAAGGATTACATTTGTTTGGTTAATACGTAGCACTACACTGCACATTTGATTTGCATTCGATAGTAATGAAGGTTCAGGTGATGGAAAACACATCGTTGTGGATCTAGGTGAAATTTTGTTGCGGATTTGATTCAATAATGTGATCTGCATAGTAGAGATTTTAATTAAGCGGCTCGAATTCTGTGGTTTGCAGGCCTGATGATTGGAATGATGGGTATGTAGCAATACCATGGAATGGCCCCTTACAAGTAATTATTTCTACTGGTCTACTGAATTACTAGCTTAGGTTTTTTTCCTATATATCTTTGTCTACTTATTGAATTTTATTGTGGCTTAACAGCCAAAATACACTTCACCATGATTTTGCATTTGGCACCAAGGTATGTCAGTAACAATGAAATGGTTGATCGAGTTTGTTTATGATAGTCTAAAAAAAAAAAAGTTTGTTTATGATTGCATTAGTTACGATTTTAAAAATCTTATGTTCAATTTTGTTACCGTGATTGCCTGGATAGTCATTCAAAACGTTCATCTATATTATAGTTTTTACTTATAATGCAATGCAAAAAAAAAATAAAAATAAATAAATAAATAAATAATTTGTATGTCAATTGATATAAAGGTCAGGAATCGATAATTAGTAAGAACCCTGTCTCACTTGATGCTCTTATACTCTGTAGTCTGTACAACCTTTCATCTGATTGTTAGATTAATTTGGGGTAAAACCGTAAAATAAATTTAACTTTTATCAAAATGCGGGTCCCATAAATGTCATGCTGACTAGGATGTTTAGTTGATTTTTTTACGAAAATGACACTAGATAAACAAATTATCTTTATCACAAAGATGAACTTGTATTTCTTGTTTATTGATTAATGAACATCCATGGTATTTATAAGCCATATCCCAACCTGCTAAAAGTTCTAATACACTTTAAAAAAAGAAAGAATAAAGATCAACAAAAGAAAGAAATTCTTTCAAAAAAAAAAAAAGAAGAAAGAAATCATAAGTCAACTAGGATTTGACCGAAACAAGACTTGATCAAATCTGAAAATTAACACTATATTAAACCAACATGCAAGTCTCATGGCTAAAATAAAATACTAAAGACTATAGTAAATTAAAATCCTATGTTCCTTAAAACAAGAAAAATCCTATCAAGTAAAAGGCCATAATAAAAAAATCCAGATACTTCCAAGAACCATCCATTTCCTTATCGGAGATTCATGGATTACATATATAATAGAGTCACCTTTCAAGAACCATCCATTTTTATTTTTATTTTTTTTTGTATTATTTTACTAAGAGCATTTTTTAAAAGTACATTGTATAGTTATTTTTTTTTATAAAATCATGCATCATTAATGCAATATAATGTATATTATTTTAAAAAAATTTCAACACAACTAATTAACAATAATCTTACTCTCAATTTAATTTTAATAATTTGACTTTATTATTTTAATTTTCTTATACTCATTGCATTTGTATATTTCATATGAATTGCTTCATTTTTTATATTATATCAAAAATTAATTATGGAAAAAAATTGTTACCACCGTACGATGCACATGCCATCACAGTTTTGAGTGAATATGATCTGAACGGAAGTAAGGAACTCATGGCGTGACCTGGTTGATTCATGTTTCACGTGGAACGAAGCAAAAGTTTATTATGGATGTACCATTTGATGGTATAGTTTTATGCCACCAAGGTAGTAAAAATTTGCAACTTTTGGATGAATATTTATACCGTGGTATAAAACTATACCACGAGTGTTGATGCTCTTAGGGTATTGCAAATGGTATGCCATTTTTGTCTTTTTGAGTTTTGGGTTTGACAAACTATGTGATACATAGTCATTCCACCAAGACCAAGTCAATGTGGGTGCCAGTGACTCGGGTAGACTATTCCAGGTCAGATCACCTGTACCCAACAAAAACAATTTAATAAAATATCAATTTTTCATGCCATGCAGAAATAGATCTAGCTTGACGCATACTAACATACAGTACATACAAAACCTTTTACCTGCGATCATTACAAGTAGTATTAATAATCACAGTTCTAAGTGAATATGAACG